TGTTTTTCTCCTTATTTCTACTAAAGGTACACCCTACACGCAACAGTCCTACAAAGTTAGCGATGTCTTTCCTTTCAAATGGATTAATAAGAAGTGGAAAGAAGGCTTCTCTGTAACCTCAATGACCACTGCAGGCAGCAAATGGGGCATTGTCATGTCCCGTAATGCAGGCTATCCTAGTCAGGTTGTCCAATTCCAGTCCAATAATACTCAATTATATGATTCTGCAGCAATCACTTACATGTTTTTATTCTTGTTGACTAGGTTGTTGAACTTGATTTCCTCTATCCAAGTGAGGGGATTCATAGAAGATGGGAGAAAGGATATCGGATTACATCGGCAGCAGCTACAGAGGACCAAGCAGCATTCATTCTTAGTGCACCCAAGAGAAAATCACAAGATATAATGCAAGAAACTTTGCGTACATCTGCTTTTCCTAGTACCCATGTAAAGGTGATTTAATTTTGCATGATTTTCTTCTTTAAGGGTGTATGATATTATCTATATAACTATCTTTGGTGTTCGAAGCAGTCTTCCCATGATGTGTTATATTATCTATATAACTATCTTTTAAGGTTGTATTTTTTTCATGTATTTACATTTTCAATAAAGAAAGTTATGGTCCACAAATCTTAACCATGGATGTAAACCTAGTTTTAGCTCCAAATCATCCAGGCTCACTATTGCCTGCTGGAAGAATTATTTTTATACAATTCTCAAATAAGAACTTACTAAGGATTTAAATTCTAATATAAATATTTGATTTATCCCATACCAACTAATGATTTTTGCTTTTATCTATTTTGCAGGATAAATGGTTGAAAAATCTGTATATTTCAGCTATTTGCTATGGGAGGACAGTGTCCTGAAGTTTGGTATTTGGAAGTAGTCACTGCAGTTACATGTTCAAGGCAGGTAAAACATTCTGGTCTAGCCTTGTGATGTCAATCAAATCTTGACCTGGTTTGTGGCCTTGAAATTTATAATCCTTAATGAGTCTCATGAGAGTTTCATTTTATTACACCTTTCCTTCTGCCAAATACTTGATGGTTTGAAACAAAATTTTCCTTTCATAGAATAACTATTATGATTTTGCTTCCCTCCTTGATTATCAATCATATGTTACATCAGGTTTGTCTATTTATATATTTATTGCACTTGTTGCCATGTCTGGATGTTCTCTGGACACCTGAAAATAGTTGCATATTTACCTAGTACAATGCCTGAAAGGAATTTTGTTGTGGTGGACCGTATGATCTTGAAATGTAACATCTTATAGTACCGTAGAGTGATAATTGCACAATGTAGCTTTTAACCTGCAAAGAGATCAACAGATAATATTTTTTGTTTCCAATTGTGAATTTTAATTACCAAAAAGCCTATGAGTGAATATCTTTCATGTCTGTAACTGCATCTTTATTATCTGAGACTGTTGGAAAATAATCCTATATATTCAAAATTCAAATCCATTGGGGCTCAACTATGGACTTTGTCACTTGTGTACTGACTTATGGGGTGGGGGCACCTGAAATTAGTTACCATGTTAGTACTGTACTGGTCTAGCCAATTGTACTTTTATTAATTTATGCACATTTTCTTAGCAATAACATAGATATGCTTAAGTTTGTATTATATTCTTATTGCTATAGCCATCACAACGTTACATCCATATTTTCAGGCTTGGATTAGTAGCATAATAAAGGATTCAAGGACTTTCTAGTTTTCTTTCGCCTGATTTAGTAGGTGACTGGATAAAAGAACCTTGCCTTTTGCTTAATGGTAAAAATTTGGAGATTCGTGTCCTTGTCGATTTTGATCTTTCAATTAGATTTAGACAAACCCACTTTGTGTTTGTGTGATTTGGAATTTTTCCCCAGCTGGAAGTGTATGACTGATTTCCCCAGAAAACTAGGATAAGAGTTTTCCAGTAGTCTAAAACCTTAAAATTTGCTTAAGTGAGCAAGGGTCTAACATTCTTATTAAAGCTTAAATTCCAAACTTTTGGAATTTTGTAACTCTATTCTAAACCAGACATGAGCTCTCTCTTTTTCTTGTAAGGTCCAGAATTATTGGACTTTTTAAGTCCAATAGGTTCAGAGTGCATTTCTTTGCCTGGATTTTGCATCTAACAGATTGTTTACTGTTTAGGGTTCAAATTGTGTCTTCCGATAAGATTTGCCTGTTTGACATTTTAAGCCTGCATCAATGTTCCGAAGTTTTAATTATTTTGTCATCGTTTCAATAGATATTTGCTTGTTGCCTGCCGCCCAGGAGGATACTGAAAGTGTTGGAGATGCACAGAGATGCTCTTTCCTTCCTTTAGCATATAGAAGAAGCTTGAACCGGGCAGAAAACCTGCCAAGTTTGTAAAGTGCCCAAACGATGAGGAATGTAAATCATGCTTAGTATCAGAGACGGATTTTACAATGGGCCGAAATCCTTAAAACTTCCATGGTTGTAATATGTAACTACTGCAATTTTAAGAGAAAGAAACATTTAATTTTGCCCCCACGGAAATTCAATTACTTTTCTCGCTTCCAACTTCTGATTAGTGTTCATATTACATATTAACAAAGTTTTTAGGGAAGTTTTATCTGGTGGGATTGCTTTCTAACCTAACTAATAACTTTTTAATTATTATTATTATTATTATTTCATTGAAATCAAAATCAATACATGTTAATATTTCTTTCACGGTTTTGATCCTAGTCAAAGTCGATGATTGAAACCCATAAATTGTCATCTCTCGGGAATGTTAAAATTGTAGGTCAAGCCTCTACTCTAACTTTACCTTGTTTTACGTTTAATTTTCTAGTTATTGGGTTCTAGCAGTAAAACAGTAATGTATGTTCAAGAAGCTTTTTCTTTTGAGCCTCGTGCCAGGTTTGAGCGATTCCTGGTTCTGCTTCTGGGCTGAGGCATAACAGAATATGGAAATGTACTACGAAATTTTATTTTTCTTTGTTAAAAGTTAGATGCAAAAGTAAAATCAGAGTTTGCAGGATCAAACATACACATTCATGTATGTCTCAACTCAAATGTATGCTCAGTGATCTTGAGCTTGACTAGAGGTATGATTATCTTATCCAATAGGTTCGTTTTTTACGTTGTAAGTTGAGGCTCTAGAGTCCGTGACCAGAGGTATTAGAAGTATTTTATGATTTGTGGGTTCAAGGGACAGTACATTGTCAAATCTCACGTAAAAATGTAAATTGTGAGCCTGAGGCACTACGACATTGGACTTCACTTCAAAGGTGTGGATCTCGTTGACGAGGGCGTCAAGGGTTAGGGACTAGGTGAGAGACCTGTCATGTGGTGCAAGTATGTGACGAATTCCATATGACCAAAATCACTATACACATGCATTTTATGTGAGTGTCACATCAAATGCAACTCAAGTGGTCTTGTATTTAAATGGACAGATGAGTAATTAACCCAATAAGCTAGTTTCTTAGGTTGAGACTCGTGTGACTAACGGTATTAGAGTCACTTTTGGAGACCATGGTGTGGGCTTGAGATACCATGTAAAAGTGTGGATCGTGTGGGCTTTGAAGCAATAAGACGTTGGAACCCACATAAAAGTGTGAATCCGTTTTACTAGGATATCAAGGATTAGGTGAGAAAGCTATCACTTGGTGCAAGTAATGGGGTGTCGTCTAAGCTTGGAAGCGCTACGGTGTGATCCTAAATAAAGGTGTGGATCCCTTTGACGAGAGTACCAGGGATTAAATGAGAGAGCTATTACGAAGTACAAACGTGATTTTGCATTGTGTGATGAGATGGTTATTGGATAAGAAAAGTTACGTAGAGTGTGGATCATGAGTAGTCTGAAAACGCTATAGTGTGAGATCCACATAAAAGTGTGGATCCACTTAGGAAGTACTACGACATCGGACTCCATATAAAAGTGTGGATCCCTTGATGAGAGGATCAAGAATTTGGTGAAAGAGCTATCAACGTGCTTGACTAAGGGTGTCAAGAATTTGATGAGAAAGTAGTCACATGTTACAAGTGTATGTTGGACCATATGAATATTTACCAAAGTAAGCTTGAACTAATTATATAAAGGGACCGTGAACTCTTATTAGTCTAATTTTCATGTTAAAGTTCAATGTTATGATTTCAATAAACAATCATAAATCTTACATAAAAAAAATTATATATTCTCATCGAAGAGCTATGAGGATATTATATTCTCAGTGAAGAGTCATGAATCTTACATCAATGGAAGATATTATGATTTCAACAGAGAATCATGAATCCTACATCGATTATGTATTAAAATGAAATTGAATATTTAAAGTTATAAGATACATTTTATAAAATAAAACTATATAATCAACAAGTCAAACTAGATAATTTCGTAAGTTGACGTGAAATCGTGACATTGAAGCACAAAAATATATATAGTTTCATTTGCACAAAGGCGTGGAAAGAGGTTTATGATTTCGTGAGGCCTACAGTCACTATCAAAATCATTTCCCTGTGAGTGTTTTATGAAAGAAGGCTGGTCATGTTTGGTGCTTTTGGAAATGGTGGACATGGCACAGCAATGGTCCCTGGTTTCTTCCTTCATGCTGTCCTTAATGCTTAAGACGCATTTCCTAATCACATGCATAACTTTGCTTGATCAATTTTATGCATAAAATTGAATAAGAAATCCATGTTCCTAACCGCTAAGCGAAGAAACCTGACCACTGAAACAAGTGCCTTGGGTCAAATAAAACAGTCTCTTGCACTTGTCAACACTTAATTGCACCTATATGACTTTTTATCAAGTTGAGCTAAATAAGTTAGCCAAGTTGGACCATCGTGGTCT